GAGATTACATCAGTTCATCTAGAACAATCTGTTTGAGTGCTCTTACAGATGAGGCTCTGCAAATTAAGATTTTATTTCACTCTCCATGAGCTCAGTTCCCTGACTGTCATCGTTCTTACTGACTGCCATCAGTCACTGCTCCCTGCCTGTTCTTGCTCTTGTCCAAGGATATACTTATCGTCTGTGGCTCTATCCAGTCTTTTCTGTAGTCCAGCACATATACACCCACAGTCTCCAATGAAATTTTGTGCCATCCAAAATAAATTGCCAAGATGCAGTTACCTTACAACCAGCAAGTAGTTGGTATTGATGACAGTAGTCGAGCAGAAAGTTGTCCAGATTTTCTTTATTTAATGTTTAATTTTTTAAATAGAAGAACAGTTCTAGAATGCCTAACTATGAAACATGCATTATCATTCAGATTGGAAATAACCTATTATGTACACCTTCTTTTGTGGAATAGTGTTTCCTTCCTGGGGTTTTTCTTTCTTTACTTAACAGAGCTGATTCTGTATCAGTTAGGAATATTTTCATATTCCTCTCTTGTTCCTGGATTACTGATTTGGATCTGTTTGGTCCATCTTGTCATATTTTACACAGTAAATGATAACCTAAGAAATTATGGAAAAGATCAGGATGCTGTCTCCTAAAAGAAAAACTGAACCACTTCCAATATAGGATAACTGAAAGCATAAGTTTTTGGAAAAATTAACATGGTGAATTTATGAAAGAAATAAATGGAGGAAATTATGCTAGAGGCCTCCATCTTCATATTTATAAGAGAATATGAGGGGATGAAACAAGCCTCTCAGCATTCCATGTAAAAAGGATTCCTACTCATTAACACATATAAATGCTGACGGATAATTAAGTAATTTGGGAGACAAACCATGCATATGGGAAGCATTTTTGGTATTTTATGACCCCTTCTACTGACCTATGTAATTACTGTGCTGCTGGCTAACACAGCAACATAAAGCCTCTGTGAACATCTCCATTATGAAGTCTATTTCAATTCTAAATGACCTTTCTTTTTATTTGTTACACTGGGATCAAAAAAAGCTTGTTAAATTCTGTTGTACCCTCCAATGCTATTAAAGAGAAAAAGAATCTGTGAACATTATTAAGTAATCAATTTCTAAGCCACCTACAACGTAGTATAGAGAACAGACCCAATTTATATTTGGCAAGAACAATTCATGTCAAACCAATTTCCTTTTCTGACAGGGAAAATGGCTGAATGGCTAAAAAGAAGCAGTAGATGTGACATTTTTATTGTAGTAACATTTTTATATGTGGCATTCTTATAAACAATACTTATAAATCATAGGACTACATTAGAATCCATGGATAGTGTCACCTTGAGCTGGAGCAAAACTTACTGGAAAAAAAAAAGAGTTTAGGGAATAGCTTTTAATGATTGGCTTTCAGATGAAGAGAGTATATCAAGTAGAGGTCACCAGAATCTATCTGGGGACCTAGCCAGAATCTTCATCTAAGCCTTGAACTTTTGAAAGAGAAACTACAAATGCGCTATTGACATCAAGCTGGGGGGAATAACAGCAGTTTGGAGATGAGTCCCAATATCATCTTGAGGAACTGGAAGAGTAGTCCAAAAATGGAAAAGGTGAGCTTAGTAATAACAAATGAAAACTCCTATACCTTGGAAAATGAAATCAAGTGCACCCATACAAAATGAGAATAACTTTCTGGGCAGCACTGCATAAAAAATGGGACTTGCATAACTTCCTAAACTCTTCCATATATTGACATTGTGAATTATGCATTTTTTATATAATACCAATGATAAACATACAATTTCTTGTGATGTCTTTTTCCTCTGAAATGAATTTAACTCATGCTTTTCAGTAAGAAATTTCTTGAAATTTACTGTTAAAGTATCTGAGCTGACTCATTAAATTGACAGGGATTAAAAAATAAAAGACAGTACAAATTTCTAATGCTGGAGAAAGAGGACAAAAGCCTGACACATGCATCCAGTGTAGGAAGAATAGGATGTGCCCCACAAGACAAGAAGTATCTATAAACTCTTTGGTCAACTAGGTTGCCTTATGAATCTAATAACATGACAGGGACATTTCAAATCCTGATACAGGAACCTATGTACTCAGAAAAAGTTCATGTTTAAGTCATAGAAACTTCAGTTAGCAAACATTTACCAGAGATGTTGATAGCAACGTTTTGCATTAAATTTGCAGCAATAGGAGTCTATGGGCAGAAAAGGCAATTGCAATTAAGTACCCCAATTTAGGAAAACATTTAATCACTTGCAGGTACTTAAACACTTTCCTGGATAGGTGCAAGCTATGTTGCTTCCTGAATTAGGGTTTATAACTTAAGGTCATTGTTGTGATTCCAGGTCTAAATAATAGCAAATTGGTATAAGATGAAGGTCTAGAAGTGGGAATTAGATGCCTAAAGAGCTTTGAAAATCTGAACCTAAAAGAAGAAATCATTTACTTTATAAATATGAAAGTATAAATAGGAGCAGCGTGTAAAGCTCATAGACCAGTCTCATTCTTGAATATGATCCTCTCTGGAAGAAACTGGACTTTAGCTGGAGTAAAATAGTGGCATACCAAGCCACTTAACGTGAATTCTCAGGAGACATATCTGCAGTTTTAAATGCTTTTTCCAGCATACTCAAATCCCCACCCACTTCTCTCCACTGCTACCTTGCAGCATTAGTTCTTGCCAAACCTAGATCCCGCTTACATGTTCACAAACTTCTTGTGGTACTTGGAAATGGAGAAAACTGCTCACTGGAGTACTAACTTAGATACATACTGACTTGAATAACATTACAGGTAACACACTTGCCAATTGGCAGTCTGAGAAATCTGCAGGATATAGCAGCTGTCCCTCCATCTCTATGCTTTGGCCAACTCATCAGCTTCCCCTCAAAATGCACTCCTAGCACTTCACCCAAACTAAGACCATGGGTTTTGGACTTCTGCACCACAGAAGATGATTCTCTATGAGCAGGAGTTTCTGCCATCTGTAGCACAAGTGTAAGCACGTAAAGTGAGTGGGACAAGCTATGATGCCAATGGCTGCATAGGGTAGAGGTAGCCCTGCTGGTGTTAAACTCTTTCATCACAGTAACGCAGAGCTCTGCACTGCCTAACTTACCTATTTTCTGCTAGTTTGGGCATCTCTCTGCCACACTGTGGAATATGCGGAACAATGGCATTCCATATACTGCAGAACTGTGGAATACAACCACAGGCATGCAAGTCACAATCATCATTAAGCGGCTCTGCTGTTAAACTGTTTCTGCGAAGAGCTGTATTACAGGGACAGGGAGATGGAAGTGCTTCATGGCTAATGTAGAGTCAAGACCCATTAAAGGATCTTGCATGTGGAAGCTAGCCTGGTCCTGTGCTGAATGTGTCGTGGGGCTAAAAAAAGGGTGTAGTTTCTAAACAGTCAGTCTAGCACCATTTGTGAGCTTTACACTCACTTTAAATTAGCATACAATTTTAAAATAAATATTATGGATGAAGATTATCTTACAAAGAACATATAATTTCCATTTTTAAACTCACACTATTTGTTTTGATGTAACCCATAAAAGTTCTTGCTCTGCAAGGCCTAGTTGACATTTCTTATTGTCTTTAACTAGTTCATCTCTATGTGTTTAAAGGTGATTTTTTTTTATCCATCATACTTTGGAAAAGCAATTCTGCAGGACAAGAACTCATCTTAAGTCTTTGGTGCTCATGCCAAGGAGAACTTGATAAACTAGACAAGTAGTGTGATCTCTCTTAGCACTAAGTGTTGTATCATTCATCCAGATATCCCTGTAAATGAATGATAGTCATCTTCGACATTATGTGCCTTCACAGTGTGTTTAAAATCCTATAGATGTTTAAATAAATGCTTTTATCTTCTGTAACCACACAGCTATTAACATATACAATGCTTACAGAAAGACACTGGATAAAATGATTATTTTTAGTACTTCCTCACTTCATAAAACAATACAATAGCTATGATGCTACAAATAACTCACTATGAATTCTTCTTTAAAGCAAACAGAGGAAGTATAAGTTTAGGAAGAGATACGGAGTTCAGAATAGACAGTGTATTAAAATACTAGGTTTAGTACAGCTAGAAAAAAAAAAAATAGCTTTACTTTGGGTCAGTAAAAATATAAACAAGATTTTATTCCATAGGTCAATCTGAAACTTGGGCAGAAATGCCTAGCACTTAATAACCATCAATGAGTCCAAGTTTTGTCTGAGATAAAAAGCATTGCTGTGAACTGTTAAATTTGTGACCAACTTTCTGACTTTTGGAAACATATTTATTTATGCTATTACAAAAGCAGGTTTTAGTTAGATGATGTATGTTTTATTTGAGACTCCCATGATATTATTGTGTGGTTTTAGGAAAGTGTTTTAACTTTTCTTGGCTGGAGTATTACACATTCTGTCAGTGAAGAAGCAATAAAGTCACAGCAGAGTTTAAAACTGCTGGCCAGAAGTTTGCCTTGTGTGTTTTTCTCCAATTCGTATGATGAGTTGAAGAGCTTTCATAAGAAATGGAATATCAGCCATCCGATTACAGCTGGCTTTGTACGTGTGACCTAACTAGCAGGAAACGACTAAACTGGTATTAGCTAATTAAGGTGAAAAAATAAGTGTGTTGGAAATGGATTCTGAAGGACTGTCAGCATTTTCTTTTGAAGCTTTCTTGAAGAGTTACTATGTTGAGTCCTACTGCTGTGTGTTTGAGGAGTAACTTCAGCTCTCTGTAGATCAGCATCCTTATTTTAGCCTACCTTCCACTGAACGCACCCAATTCTGTTATGGCTGCCTACCAAGTAAATTGGTAAGTAGCGTCTAATTTCCCTCTGGCTATATTTTAGAAGATGTATTTGGAGACACTTAATAAGCTACAACGAGTGATTTTCAAGCTATCTTGTGTTCCAATACTGTGATTTTATAGGCGTTTTTTGATAGACTCAAACTTACCTATAGTGCTGCAGTTCTGATTCTAGCTGCTGAATGTATATTTGCAGATGTGGCACTTCGTTAGCTTTCACTTCTAGCTCCTTCACTTTGCTAAGACTGTTAAGGACGGCATGTCTTGCCTCTTCAACCTTCTTCCTCATTTCTGCTTGTTCCCTCTTCAGGTTACGGTTGCAGTCTTCCAGATTGACGAGAGCTTCCTGAGAACTCTTCAGCTCTCTTTCCAACTCTTGATTGAACCTAATTGCTTCTTCAATTTGCCCATCCCTGGAGCTCCGGATGAGTTCCACTTCCTTCAGGACACTTTGAAGGCACTTGGTCTGGGAGTGGTTCTGCATTAATGGTCTCTTACTCCCTATAAAACAGGTCCCCTCTTCCTTATGGTTAGCATGGCTTTTCCGAAGTCCTACCTAAAATGAAGAGGAGCAGAAAGCAGGGAGAAATCAATGTGTTTTAAAGCAGCTGACATTTTAATCAAGACTGAAAATGGCTGGATTGTGTTTTGTTGGTTTGCCTTTTTTTTTTTTCCTAATAACATATAGTTGATCAGCAACTAATAAGCTACTTACCTTTGTGAAATACCGATACAAACAATCAGCTCTGGAAAGTAGTTTTTAAATACATATCTATAAATTTAATTTTAAAACTACTCACTAAAGTGGAAAATTAGGTTATTGCACAACCTAAAGCTATTTCTATATAGCTTTAACATCATTACTGTAGTCTGTCCTCACAAGGCAAGTAGCATTCTGAAAAAAATATTTCTAGTTATGTTTTTTAAGTTGTGTTCAGTAGAAGTGAACAGATTGCAGCTGGCGGTGTTCTGGAGCTCTAATCTTTGTCCTTCTTCCGATTCTTTCTGGGGCCTTTGATTGGTGACTTTGTGTTTGCTTCTGACTTCCCTTCACTTTTCAAATGAAAATGGTAAAAGTGGCTTTCACCTGCCACGCCGGAGGCTGCGAAGACGGGCAGCCAGCTAACGCCAAACGGAAGTGTCGTGCACAGAGCAGAGTTCTGTGAGTGTTGTGTTAGTATTACATCCAACGTGAGCAGACCCGCCAGAACGGCCGGTGAACTCAGCCCTTCAGTGCTTTGCCTGTTCTACGCTATTTCATGCCGGAGTGATTTAACTGCTGTTAAGTATGTACGTGTTTCACTTGAGCCAATGCAGCAGAAACAGAAACCAGCCCCAGAATTAATGGGGCTCTGCAGAGAAGCCAGAGACTATTCATCAGCCCGTTTGCAGAACTGGCTCCAACTCTGAACTCTCATGACCACGGTCTGAAGAAAACACACTTCTAACGTTTCAGAGGCAAAGCTCTCGGGCATTTATCACTCGGTCGTGCAGGTAAGAATCCAAAAGTCCTTTCTCACTTTGGAAAAAAAACCCACAACGGTGCCTGACCGGTGTCCATCTGGCTGACTGGATGTGCAATAGAAAAAGCAGCATTATACGCTTAGGGTTGTTAAACTGGCACCTCCTACGATTTCAGCAGCGTGGTTTTCCGCGCATCCCTTAAATGCGTGTGATGTCACGCTGGTGAAAATACAACGTGTCCCCTCAAGGACTCGCACGTAACCCAACTCTGCCGAAAAGTTAACGCCGAAGATGAAAGCGCGACCCGGGTCTGCGCCACCACGCTGCCGTTACGAGCCGCTCTGGGGGCGGAGGGGCCACCGCCACGGCATCTTCCGAGAGCAGCGTCTTACACGTGAACCGAGGGCAGCGGGGAGCCTCGGAAGAGCCGCCGGGAGCCGAGGGGCGATGCCCGCCGGCCGGGCCGGGCCGCGCACTCGCTCGCTCACTCACCTGCAGGGCCAGGCAGCGCGCGTCGCTGCTCTGCAGGGCGGCCCGCATGTCCTCCACCAGCTCCCGCAGGCTGCCGTTCTCCTCCTCCAGCTTGGCGATGCGGTCCTCGGCCCGCTCCAGCGCCACGATCTCCTCGTAGCACTCCCGCGAGCAGGGCCC